AGAAAAAGGGAACCTTTGCTAGACTTGTGGAGTTTGGACCAAAATTCTCATACCTTAGCACTTGGAGTTATTCCTGGACCATTGGACAATGCTTATTTACCTTATGATACATTTAATCAAACACCTTAAGTGCATTATTTTATTTTAAGCCTACTTGTTGAATTCTATTCTAGTGCCATTCTAGGACTTACTCTTTTGTGTGCTTGCCTTTTGTTAATGTGCCTTAATTTTAGTTTTTGAGTATTTCTTTCTACTCTTAAGTTTGTCTCAAAAAAATCCAGTTGAGTTTAGCCTTTTTTAATTGTGCCTTTTTAGTTTTCTTCCTTGGTCTCTTGTACTCTTGGGTTGTGTTTTCTTCTTGACCTAGGTGAAGAAAGCTTCTAAACACCACACACTTTCTTGGTGGATTGAGTGGAGGGGCTGTCCGATTTGAGTTCAAGGAACTTTGGAGGATCACACCAAATCAAAGAGTGCAAACACTATTGAAAGGCTAACCTCGGGTGTTCATTGTGAAGGGGTGGAGACTTGAAGACTTGAAGATTTGAAATTATTTCTTTTTCATACTTGTTTCCTTTTGTTCAATTTTTGGCCTCTTGTGTTTTGGCCTTTGTTTTCATTCATTTTGGTTTGTAATTGGCCATTTTTAAACCTCTTTATTTTAGGGTAACTCGAAGTAGTGCTCGTGGGAGTGACTTGAATACCACCAAGGTCACTTCAAGCTCCCACCCTAGGGAATCTGACTAGCATATGCTTTAAGTTGCTTTCCTTTGCATGATTTATAGCTTTTATAGTATAATTGTTTAGGCTCTTTTTTTTATTTGTTTCATTTAGAAGGCTACAATTTGCCTACTAAGGGGCCGTGCACACACACACTTAACTTTTTTGCAAAAATTGTTTTGTAAGAAAAGTATAAGGAGACTTAGTCATTGAGTGTATTTTCTCCCATCCTTGTGTCATTATCCAAATCATTATCATCATCATTATTCATTGCATCGTTCATTAACGACGAATCTACAGATAAATCATATTTGACCCCAGCTGTATGTGTATAAGGAAACTCTGTTTCAAAGAACTCAACATCACGAGACACAAAATAACATTGAGTATGTAAATCAAATAATTTCCAACCCTTCTTCCCATAAGAGTAACCCACAAAGATACACTTTCGACTTCGACTAGCAAACTTATCACCATGTCTATCCAAGTTGTGTGCATAGCATAAACATTGAGTATGTTTTAATATCTGAGTTTTCTATTGGATTCCTGGTAGGATGTGATGTGTGAATATGTGTTTGATTTCGAAATTAGATAAGTTTTGACATGAATTAATTAGAGTGCCTTGTGAGAAACCTTATGAGAAACAATTAGGGGTATGATCTTTTGACAATATTTGAGGTAGTTTATGTAAAATTGAGTATGGATTCGTGTTCTGGGTGTTATTGGAAGTGTTTTTACCAATTGAATGCTATAATTACGTGTTTGGTTGTGAAATACACAAGATTTCGCGAAGTTAAATAATGTAGGTTTGCATTGGGGCGCCGGGCACAGTTTTTAAGTCGGGCTTAGTTTTTCAAGCCAGGCGCAAGAATGTTGCGTCAGGCGCAGGAAAGTCTCATCGGGTGGATTTCTCTGCTTTAGGTGCGACATTTAATTCATCGGGCGTGCTCAAGGCGCGCTAGGCGTGATGCTCCACTTTTGGTGCGACATTTAATGCGCTGGGTGCGAGTTGTGACACACCAGGCATGATCCTTGTGATGTTTTACATGTTTTATGTCTTGTTTGAAGGTGCAAATTGTGTGGGAATGGCCTTATTACTGTGTTAATGTAAGTAATGTGTTTTATAAGCATGATGAGGACAAGAATCTTGAAATGATGATCTTATGAGTATGACTATGAGAAATGTGAAATGTGAACAAGTGACATGAGACATGATGTGAATTATGTGATATTGTGAATATTATGACTATGAGAATGTGAAACATGATGAAATGAAATAAGACATGAAATTCCATGACAAGTAAAGTGATGAGTCCATGAAATGTGAATGTGTGTAACCTGCATCATGTGCATCTATGTGACGGGTACAATATGGAGTACATCGTTAGGGAAGACCTTCCTTGTGTAACAGCTTGGGGGAGTCCTAGGGGATAGTGCAGTTTGGATGTCTCAATTCTGCCCATTTGTGAGCACAAGACGTAACTTATGCAACTTCACTATCCTGACCAGACCCTAGTAGTACATCCTTCTAATTGAGAGTTTATGGGTAGCTCCTTACATGTACTCTTAGACTACCTTAGGTGTATTGTTTAGGTAGCACACCAGTGATATGTGACTGACGCCACATGCATGCATTTATGAGTCGAGTCCATGACATCATTGCATGATAAATGAACATGCATGTGATATTGATCGTGTATGTGTATTGTTTATATGTGATTTGTGCTTGTGACTTATATTATGTTTGTTGTGTGTGTGTTGTCTAACATTTATTTCTGCACTTAAACCTGAGTGAGATGTTTCTCACTCCCCTATTGCTCTTTGTATGTGTTTAAATTGTGTTGTAGGTGATCACCAGCATAAGGATGTTGGTGATGAGGCTTAAGCTTCAGTTGGATGTACTCTGATAGGATATGTGACGTTGGGGCATAGCTAGGCTTAGTTTAGGATTTCACTATTGTTATTTTGTTTTGTAAAAACCCATGTTTCACTTTCTTGTAAATTTCGCATTTGACCATGATTTACGTTTCTAAATGTGAATTCTCTACACTTATATTAGTAGAACCATTGTTTTAATTCAAATGATTTTATTTATTCTGAGAATATGTTTTTATAATTATTATATATGTGTATTGGGGCAGAGGGTGTCACAAGATCTCAATGCATGGAGGATTACATGTAGAAAAATTTTACTTAGGAGGACATGAAACTAAAAAATTGTATTAATGTAACTTTTTGTATTCAAACTTAATTATTTATGTTATCTTTTTCATCAATTGTACTTTTAAAAAAAATCTATGTTGTCCTTTAAAATCTCATAAATTATTTTCAATTTTTTTTTAAATTCTTGTAGTATAAATCTATTGAAATCCAAATTAAAAAACCTTCATCTTTAGTCTAAAAATCTTAAAAGTAATTACATTTAACAGATGAAGTACTGGAATGCAATAGGCAAAGGAGCACAAATCTTTTATATTGGTTCGTCTCAAACACAGAGATTACATCTAGTTCTTAATCCAATCAGATTGAGTTCCACTACCTTTCAAAAGAGACAAGTATTATTTACACAAGCCACTTTTTGACTCAAGCCTATGTAGTCTTTAACTTGCCTCTTTAATGAACTATCCAAATATTCTTTTAACAATCTCTCTAGGCTCAATCACCAAGTATTCTTTTAAACAAGCCTTTTCAGGCTCAACACCAAGTATTCTTTTCAACCAAGCCTTTCCAAGCTCAAACATTAAGTATTCTTTTAAGAAGTCTCTCCAGTTTAACCCTTACAAATAGAAATTTGAAAAAGAGTTACAACAATAGTTTTGTTTTATCTAGACGATTATTAAATAATTCAAAATTAGCTAATATTTATTTTTATAAAATTTAATCTTAAAATCTTAATATATATATATATATATATTTATCATGACGAAAATTAAATTACAATGTGTGATGTAGTGAATTTGCAATGTGGAGGTGTTTTCGTGCTCAATGTGGTTGGGCTGGCTAGTGAACCTAACATGGATTTATAAACTTTATGTCTTGTTTCAAACATAAAACTTTACGGTGGGGTTTGTGCTAATGCCAAGTCAGATGGACAAATAGCTGAGGAGAGCTTAGGATTGAAACCACTTGGTCCTAAGGTATTCAAATTGCTTTTTGCAATTCCAGTGGCTAATAGTAGTAGAAAAAGTTGAAAAAATGCTGAATTCTCAGAAGGAGCTGTCTCTCTCTTTTGGTTGGTAATTGTTATTATACTAGACATCTAAAAGTCTATTAGAGTGTGTTTGGGAAAGCTATGGAAATTTGATTATTTCAATGATCAATTATATGTATAATTAATTATAATTGGAATGAATTTTTATTTGGATAAGTCCACTGAAAAATAATTTTAAAGTAATTAATTTTCAAATACATGAAAATAACTTATTTTTCAGAGAAAAAAGAAAAACATTTTACAAATTCTAGCTATTGTTCCAAAAGAAACTAAGGGTAATTAAGTTTTGAAATTTCAGAATTCAAAACCAAAAGCTAAAAACAAACGCAATGCATATATTCATGCCCCCAAAAGAAAAATAACAACATGAATTAGATGAAATAAAAATTCTTGAATCCACATACCTCTATAGGTGGATTATAATACATAAATAGTAATTATATGGCCCTATAAAGAAGCTTCTTGCAGCAATAGTACCTTTCTAATTAACAAAGAACATATAGATGTATTACAAGTGTAACATAAACATTGCCTACTACAATGTCAAACGATGCAATTAATAAG